CCTGCTATGTACAATATAGCAATATCTTCTATTGAAGCTCTTTCCACACCTGTGGCATTGATATGGTTTCTCCCCAGTGTGGGTCCTGCTATGTACAATATAGCAATATCTTCTATTGAAGCTCTTTCCACACCTGTGGCATTGATATGGTTTCTCCCCAGTGTGGGTCCTGCTATGTACAATATAGCAATATCTTCTATTGAAGCTCTTTCCACACCTGTGGCATTCATGTGGTTTCTCCCCAGTGTGGACGCTTCTGTGGCGAGAGAGAGAACTCAAATCAGTGAAGCATTTGCTGCATTCGGTGCACTTATAAGGCTTTTCACCTGTGTGGATCCTTTTATGGACAGTAAGATCCGGTTGAGTACTGAAGCACTTCCCACACTCGGTGCATTGATATGGTTTCTCTCCACTGTGGATTCTCCTTTTATGGAGAATAAGGAGACGTGTTTGACTGAAGCGCTTCCCACACTCAGCGCATTGATATGGTTTCTCTCCAGTGTGGATTCTTCTATGGGAAGTTAAGCGGCTGGAATCACCGAAGCTCTTTCCACACTCCAGACATTTGTATGGTTTCACCCCTGTGTGGGTCCGTTCGTGGGCATGCAAGCTATGAGAACGGGCAAAACACTTTCCACACTGCAAGCATTGAAAGGGTTTCTCCCCAGTGTGGGTCCTGCTATGTACGATATAGTTATATTTTCTACTGAAGTTCTTCCCACAAGTGCGACATTCATATGGTTTCTCCCCAGTGTGGATTCTTCTATGGGAAGTTAAGCGGCTGGAATCACCGAAACTCTTTCCACACTCCAGACATTTGTATGGTTTCTCCCCTGTGTGGGTCCGTTCGTGGACCTGCAAGCTATCAAAACGGGCAAAACACTTTCCACACTGCGGGCATTGAAAGGGCTTCTCCCCCGTGTGGATTCTGTTATGGGCAGTAAGGTGTGAAGAGTAATTGAAGCTCTTTCCACACTGCAGGCATTGAAATGGTTTTTTTCCTGTGTGGATCCTCTTGTGTGACTTAAGATGACCTTTTTGACTGAAGCTCTTTCCACAGTTCAGGAATGTATAAGGTTTCTTCCCCTTATGGACTCTCTTATGTGAACTGAGATGATTTTTCTGCCTGAAGGTCCTTCCACAATCCAGACATTTGTGTGGCTCCTCTGCTTTGTGAATCTTTTTATGCAGTGCAAGAGAGCGGCTTGTACTGAAGCTTTCTGCACATTCAGTACATTTGTACATTTCCCCTCCTTCTTGTATTCTTTCATGTAAAGGAGGCGGAAGGGTCCTCCCGGAGTGTTGCCTGCTTTCATCTTGTTTCCCTCCAGCAGGGCTTTCACAACAGTCACAAAATCCCGATCCATCTCGAAGTGTTTTCCCACACCTTGGACACACTTCTTTTTCTTGGCAATTATCTGTGTCCAATAAGACATTGGTATCTGCACAAGGTAAACCAGAGCAATTATCCAGCTCAACCGTTAACAGGTTTTCCTCAGAACTTTGCTTTCCATCCATCTTTTCTGTAACATCCTTTTTGTCTTTTGGCAAAGGTGCTGCTGCCTCTTGACCAGAATCCTCCATCTCCCA